CATCAGCATTGCCACAGCCAGCATTTTTCCTCGCTGATAGCATTTAAAAGGGGCAAACCTTCCGGCCAGTGACTTCCAGCGAAAGCCGCTCGAAGAGCAGTCGCAGCGGCACATGCGGTGCGCTAAGGCCATGTTGACCCTGGCAAGGCCGTGCGTCGGCCACGCTGACATGAAAGTTCAGGGCATCTCACATGAGGCAAGGTGCGCGAAAGGACCGCACAGTACCTGCGGGCTTTGTTTTGGGAGGGATTCTGGCACCGTATGTCTCTGATCCACCACTGGGTCAGGCGTCTGCTACAGAGGCAGGGGCCGGTCCGTACGGTCGAGACGCCAAGCTTCTGCACAAGCACAGGACGCGCCCCTCACACGCACATCCAAGCTTTCCCTCATAGAGCCCAAAATTCAACTGGGTCATACAAAAGCACCATCCACAAGCAGGTAAAAGGTAAAATACTTTTGCTGATGATAGACCTGCCAATGTCTTCTCTTTGACAATATGTACCAGCAGAGGTTGAAGAACCCTATGGACTATCCCAGTTCGGTACCCCAGTCATTCGGGTCCTATCAGCGGTCACTGGCTACCTCTGGTCCCCATGAGATCCCTTCCACTTCTTGATCCGCTCTCTGCCACTTGTGATGACACCTCCCCAAAAGGCCTGTTGCGCCCCCCAAAGGATCCCAGTGACCGACTGTGACCATTCGCTCGACACCTGCGGCCGCAGCAGGCGCGCCGAAGTGTCAGCGACGTGCAAATGCAGCGCGGTGCCCTCCGGAGGCCGTGGCACTTCCCGCAGGAGCCAGGACCAAAGGCCACAAAGGCGCGAGAGGCGCGAGAGCCGCGACGCCGACGCCTGACGACGGCGCCAGGCGCCACGCGTGGCGTTGAGGAGGGAGGGAGTCGCGATGTGTGGGTGGGTTCAGGGTGGTGCTCCACCCTGATTGGAAGGGTTCGGAAGCCCCAAGGGCCTGAAACCCATCCATGGACATCCAGCGATTGGGTCAAGATTCAAAGACCTGGTAGGTCTCCGATGGTATCCAGGTGCTTCACATTGACAACCAGAAGTCCTGACAGGTATGTGGTGTTCCTGCACTCCACAACAAAGCCTACAAGTCAGTCTGACCTCATGAAATACTGGAGATGGTCATACAAAACTACTACTTACGGTAAAAGACCAGGTTTTACTGGGTCAAACTGGACTTGCAGGGAAAGGTTCAGTGACCTGAACTAGGACCCGAATGACTGGGGTACCTATCAGATAGTCACAGGTTCTTCAACCTCTGTTGGGAAGTGAGTTCGAGTCGTTTTGCTGACCAGGTCGGTGAAGACTCACTTCTAAGTCGCGCGGACCAAGTGGAACACGTCTCCAAACCAACTAGGAGGGTGCCCGTGGTAGCCAGGGGGTGGGGATGCGGTACGTCAGTGGTCTCCAAACAAGCTGGACTTGGGTGTGCATTAGAATGGGGAGATCTACCAACCGGCTAAAATTGTGATTTCACGTATGCCACTGGGACAACCACCTGCCAGGAGTCACAAGTACGGGGTGGTGTTTAGTCCCCTTACGTGAGTGGATGTTCTGGGCACCCCTAACCTCCATGGATCGCACCCCAAATTGTGACTGCTGGTGATTGATTCTGCTTGTAGGGGAAAATGATCTTCAACTTCCAGACTCAGATCTCTCAAACACCGGTCCACCACCAGGGCCTCGTCCGTTGGTCCGCGGCGAAGGGCGGCGTGAAGGCCCGCAAGGCCATGAAGGAAGTGCTGGCCTGGCGAAGTCCGAAGCCCAGTCAACGATTCAAAGGTCCCTAGGGCTCCTGTCGCACCTTCTAAGAACCAGCTAAGCCGTAACAACCCGCAAAAGTACATATTTTTGAAAAATGTTGATTTTTGCTTTTGGTATAAGTTTTTTTTATCTTGAGTATGTATTGAGTAAAAGGGTAGGTATTGCGTAATTGCATAAATAACATTAACATAAATATAACTTGTTGGTCATAACATGCATTGCAGTATACTTGATTCATCATATACTGTTGGTCATATACTTGAATATCTCCGGGCAGGCTTGCTTGGAGGAGGCCATTGTCTACATGAGAGGCTCCAAGAATTTGATGGTGCCAGCCCGATGGAAGAACAACCTTCCCATATTGTATATAGATATAGAATGCGAGCGTGATTAACGTGATATAGGAGAAAATGGGTTGAGCATGTACTAGGTAACACGTGACCAGGAGAAATAGAAATTAAGACCCGGAGAAAATACTGACCCGGACTAGACCCGGAAAAAACCGGACTCTGAGCGGAGAAACCCGGAATATAACGATACCAACTGGACAACCTCTCCGCTGACTGAAGAAATGCTACATACCCAGCATATGATGGAAGAACTCTACTCTAGACTGCATTCCCAGGAAACATTGTTACTTCGTTTAAGTCCGATGGCTCCAGTCCCTCTGAACTGTCACTGCAGGTGCAGCCCGTGCTCTTGTTGCAGGTTGCACCCTCCAACTGTTAGGCTGCTTCCTTTACTGAGTACTCTAATTAATCTGTGCAAACTGCTGTGCAAACTGCTGTGCACTCATAAAATCCAAATTATCGATCGAAGTGTTATACCGTCTTCTATCCATGCACGGCAGAGCTATAGCTGGCAACTCCGACTCTGCCGGGTTTCACCGCGGACGGTTTCGAGTTCGACGGCGACGGACCGGAGAGTCGGGCCAGAGGTCGACTCGGGACTCGGTGGGATGCAGTTATGGTGGGTGCCAGGGGCGGGGTTAATCCGGAACCTGAGGAGGCACGACCGGAGCTCGGACTTGGGGCATACATACTCAAAAATAGATGCATTCTGAAGACTCAACATCGAGGGGTCACAAGTACGGGGTGGTGTTTAGTCGCATCCAGTGAGTGGATGTTCTGGGCACCCCGACTTCCTCCATGGATCCACCCCTTTGAAACTCTTGGATGTTCAATCATGTTCATACCAGGACCCTCCGACAGGCTATTTGGAGACCCTAACAGGTGGTTTCTTGTCACCAGGAAACACCTGTTGGAGGGTCCAGGTATGAATGTGTCTGTGTCTTTGTCGAATTCTGTCCATTCCCCCCACCCGGCTGAGGCGAACAAAGGCGCCCCAACTCGATGTTGTTTGCCATATGCTTGCCAATTGATTGGCCTCTAGTCCGAATCATCCAACCAAGTTCAACAAAGGCTGAAGAACCCTACACCCAAACGCTCCAAACAGGCCTTGGTCCCCAAAGCATCTCAAAACCATAGGGATTTGAGGATCCAAACCCCTCCACATGAGGATCCGACCCTCCATATGAGGGTGCATGAGCGCCTGGGCATATATCATATCCCACTCCAGGTTACTTGTCCCTTTTTCAGGTCACCCTCTTCCAGGTTCATGTTTGTTCGGTGGGTCATTGCTCCCGTTCCCGGTTGCCCACCGGGCAGCGCGGCGCCGAGCGCGGGTGAAAAGCGCGGAGCTCCAATCGCACCGTCCAAGGGGCTCAGAATCTCCGGGGCATCCGACCACAAGCACAAATAGCTCAATCCGCCTCAAGTCAATAGACACGTCTGATTCTCCGGCAGGCGGGTGCAAGCACTGGCCTTTTGGAAGGATGGGAGGCTGAAAATGGTTGAAGGAACATAAAGAAGAAACAAAAAAATGTAATCGAACAAGAAGCTTGAAGGAGAGGAGTTGCGACAGGAACCCAAGCACAAGCCACCCTCACGGTCCAACCAGCACCCAGAAGGAGGTCAAACCCACAAGGAGATCGCAGCTCTCCAGCCAACGGTGTTTGTCTTGTTTCTCCTTGGAAGGGGTACTTGATGATGCACAAACACGACTAATGGTACTGCCATATATGCCAATCAATCGACCCCCAAAACCACCCTAATGTAGGCATATATGGCAGTCCCATGGAGTGTCTGGGATGGGCAAAGAACCTCATAGATTCGCTAGGGATAGCGCCAAAGGTCGGCTTTCACAATCAGTTGGGTTGACATCCAAGGTTTGCATCATGTGTTCATTTTTGGGGGTGCCCTAGTGCATCCCGCACAAGTTCCTTTAAAGAGATTCGTGCTGTTTGATCGCCTCCTCATCGAAGCCATCCAATCGGAATAGGTCAGAATCAGGCCATATGCCAAAACCCGATGGGCACCGATGAACTGATCCCATCTCATGGATAGCCGGGTCTACCGTTGACCCCGGCCCGGCCCGAGGCCCGGCCCGGCCCGGCCCGGCCCGTGCGAACTCCCTTCCCCGGCACAGCCGTCAGGAGGCCAGCTGACGCAGTGGGCAAAGGAAGAATCTATGCATCAAGATGTATCCACAAACATGTTAGAGGAGGGATCGGCAAAGTGTTTTTAGTCTGTGCGAATAAACCCCTTTCTACTGTTGTCGGTCTACGGAGCTGGAATGGGGGTTTAGTTTTGATTAAACCCTTTTTGGTCGATTGATATTCATACCCTTGGGTTTGGGGTTTGGATCAGGATGTAAACCCTTTGTGATCGAGTGAGGGCCCTTACTCGACCAAAAAGGGTTTAATCAAAACTAAACCCCAAGTACAGCTCCGTAGACCGACAATATTAGAAAAGGGTTTATTCGCACAGACTTAAAAACCAGCCGATCCATCCTCTATAAAGTGTTTGTGGGTACATCTTGATGCATAGATTCTTCCTTTGCCCACTGCGTCAGGTGGTCTCCTTACGCCACGCCGGGGCGGTGGATTTGAGGTGTGGTTTGGTGGAGGACCTACACAAATGGAAGGACCGCAGTGGACCGGCCCGGACCGACCCGCAGTGGCCCGGCCCGCGGTGGCCCGGCCCGCCCGGACCGGCCCAGACTATCCATGCATCTCTGGACCCGGTTGACGGAAAACCCCTGGTTTCCACCACTTTCCGAAGACCAACCCAGTGGATTATGGACGTCCAGGGTCCAGGACTCAATTGTCTACTCACTGCCCAGCAGGTCGTTCTTGGTCCTCGCCCCCATCGACCATCACCGTTCCATTCCACACACGTTACACCCCATCCGGCCTGAAAGCTCTAAAGCCACTGCTGCCGCGTAGACGCGCGGCCACTCCTCCAAGACGCTGCAGAAACATCGCGTGGAGCGCTCGGCCGCGACTCCCGGCGCCGCGTCGGACGCCGTGCGCGTCGACGCCCGAAGGCCGAGGCCAAAGGCGCCGAAGCCTGGGCGGAGGTGAAGAAGTTCTGCGGTTCTGCAGTCACCGCGTACGGTCTCTGAGGAAAGAAACATATACAAAAACACGGTACAGTTCAACATCCAGCAAGAAAACAAAGGAGAACTTCTCAGTGGCTTCTCAAGAGCTTCACGACTCGTTGCGTCTCGACGCCCAAACGGCCGGCGGACCGGCGATCGGTCAGGCGCCTTTCCGAGGACCGAAGACCTCCGGCAATCTCTGCAGCGCCTGGAGCGGTTCGCACCGGAACCCGGGTCGCGACGGAGAAGGAATGGGTTTTAGGAGCAACTCCTTGAGGAAAAGGAACCAAAAGCCTATAGGCCCAGGCGGCCTAGAGCTTGAAAAACAGGTTCCAAGCAACCAGTTGTTGAAGCAAGCAATTGAGTTTCTTGGGTTTTCTTGTACTTTCACCCCTGCTCCCGGCCCAAATGGTGTCAACAGGCGGCAATTTTTTCCATCACATACAACCCAGTGGACCCCAGGCAAACCACTCTATAAGGAAGCAGGGGATTCGTTCGGTCGAACTGATTTGGTCGTCGAACTGGAACCACTGGGACTCCCAGCTTTGGCTATAGTGGTTTGCCTGGATGCCCTGGGCAAGCCACCCATCACCACCTGGTCACCTGGGTGGTGCTGGTGCTTCTCTCTCACACAACGCGACCGCACTGGGCCGATGACGCGACCTCCGTCACAGCCAACACCCATGCCGCCCAGCCAACAACCTCAAAGGACCAAGCTACATACTACTGTACACTGTATACTATACCGCATTTCTTTTATATGCATATTACCAATATATGCACCATATAATGATACCATATGCCGCCATATGCTATACTATATGCCACGATTCTATATATACATGGATATCACCTGTATACCTGCATGTAACCCCCATCCAAAGGCGCTATAAAACCGCATGCTTTAAAATGCAGGCAAGAAACACATCAACGCCCCAACAAGAAGACCACGCACGCTCTCCGTTGCGACTCTCTCTCTCTCTCTCTCTGCCTGGCGATCGGTGAGGGGCAGCGCCTCCTCCGAGGGCAGCGTGGCCAGCACCTCGCCACGGCTCAGCAGCGCCACGCCACGCAGCAACGCCATGGACCGCCGGTGCGGTCCGGGCAGGGACCAACGAGTCTGCCCAGTCAGGTGCTGTGGAGGTTGGGGATTTCAGCTGCCGGTGGCCATGGGTCGATTTTGGGGCGGCCCGGCGGCGGTTGGGGATGGATGAGCTGCTCAATGGAGATCTAAGAGATTCGAGATTGGGATTGATATTGAGCATCTGCCTTCCGGGAGTCCGCTTGAATTGTCCAGTCTCTCTTATATAGGCTATTGATGTTGTAAAGCTTGGGCGGGCACATGATCTGCAAACACAATTTCTTGCGAGCTGTAAATCTGTTCAATTGCTTCTTGAGCTCTGGTGCAGCTAGCTGGCTGTTGCTTGAACCGATCACCTGTGCAATGCTTGTCACTTCTTGAGGGAAGTATACTGCATGAGGCACGGGTTGCACGGGTGTGAAGCAGCTCATGACCACATGTAGCCTGTTAGCCTGTCGAGCAGGCCCTCCAGCCACTTGACCGGACCCAAACATCGTGATCACCTGCCCAAGGTCACAGTACGAGGCATCCTCCCTGCAACAAACATATTTTCCTCCACAAACAGGGGGTTGTCTACTTCCATTTTTGTTCCAGGGAGGGCACTTGTCGAGTTCAACTTCCATGCTGGCCTTCCGGAACCCTCGGATTCGTCGTCGAAGACAGAAGCACAGCTGGCCAGAAGCACAGCGTCTCATCATTCTCCAGTGATCTGAGAAATAGACTACTTAAAGGTTCAAGGCGTTTAGTATTTGGATGTGCTGCTTAGTGCTACTTAGGAAGTAGCCTATCTTGAGATATAACTTAGAATCAGTTCGATTAATGATTCGCAGATATTTTTAGGCTCAATGACCACCTTCCCAGGGACCTCGAACTGGAGTCCCTGTTTGCTGCCTGGATCATGGGGCCTGTTCATGACCGAACCCAGGCGGGGGAAATCAAGAGGTCCTTCGGAAGATGCAGGTAGGCACCAAGAGAGGTTAAGTGACCTGAACTAGGACCCGTCACTGGGGTACCGAACTGGGATAGCCGAAGAGTCGGGTTCTTCAACCTCTGTTGGCACATATTCCACGCATGGATTATCAGGGGAGTGGCTCCGATCTGAGAGTACTGCGAACCCACCCGACCGCGGTATCCCAATGGAAGCCTATAGGTAGTGTGGGGTAGTGCATTGGACACCCCTTGGGGGGGTCCTGGTGAACAAGCTATACACAGGAAGACACAACCAAAGCGACGACTATATAAGTAACATGCATGTGTCACCAGAATCAGAAAGGAAGCACACCGAACAGAGTCTGTAAGTCCTTCCAAGCATTCAACCTGGCAGCCCACTCGCGCATGTTGGCCTCAGTCGGTGCAAGTTGGTCCCCCATAAGTGATTGGCTTCAAGCCTTGGCTTCACTTCACTGGGTGGGTATGGCTTCAGACCAGCACTGGCACGCCAGCTTTGGTCCCGAGATGTCTTCTTTCTTCAGAGGGGTTCCCGGTTCCTACAAAGCGCCTGATACGAGTAACACCCAAACAATCTCCATGTCTGGTGTATCGTTGTTTGAGTGTGCATGTGTTTTGGCTATGTATTTTTTGGCGGGTGCAAAAATCCTTGTGCTAGCACAGTGTCGTGCCGTTCATCCTCGAAGGCGACATTGCCCCAGACAGAACCCGAGCTCCACCCACCCCGATCGGCCCCACCGGTCGACCCACCAGGGCACCGTGGAAGCCGTCTCCTCGGGCACGCGTCCCAGGCAGTCATCGTAGAGACCGCCGTGGATGAACAAGGCGTCGCCCAAAATCACGGCGAGTTGCCTCGGTCCACGCGGGTGGAACAGCAGGGGAGCTTCAGTGAGCTTATCGGACCCTCCTCGGGGAAATATTGATGCCTGGCATAGATCTGTACAGATCAAACACCCCCGCTACTTGTGCGTTACTTTTGTTCATTGAACCTCCAGCATGCAGCTTCGACCAGTCAATGACCACCTACGTCACGCGGCCCTGGGCCACGTGCTGAGACCGGAACGCTGGGAGTGTTCGAAGCCAGTCATTTTTAGGACCTGTAACCCGGGGTACCATGGGATAGTTTGGGCCAATCCTACCAGGCACCAGTGGATGATGGTTAAAGGCGTTGTTCATCGACTGTTCAATGCAGGTGAGGTCAACGGCGATGAATGTGTTCGGGACCCCCCACGGCTGAGCCCGTCCCCCAAAGTATAAAATCCAGTCAGAAAGTCAATGAACAAAAGGAACCCATCTCGTTTTCTTCCCTGAACAATCGGTTCTTGGCCGGTCAATACAAAAACACCACCACAGCTCCCCTTAACTTCCACCCTCCAAAACCACCGCTTCCCGCTTCCCCCCTTTTCCGATGGTCACTTTGCCTTTCTTCATCTTTCTTCCCTCGCCGCACTTGGTCCATGCCCCATCCCCGCATGTTTGGCCCCACTGGTTTGAAAAAGGCACGTACTTCAAAAACCCTAGGGCTCCAAGGCTCCTGGCCCACCTCCGTTTCGAAGATGGGACAGGGGTGGGTGGTCGCCAGGGGGGTCAAAGACCACCGGTCACCTGAGGAGATGGGACAGGAGCCCCAACGGGAAAACCAGATACGTTGGGCCCCGAAACCCACCGCCTTCCGACCTTTCCTGGTGCCCGGTCCCCCGGTCCCCACCGCGCCGTTTGGTCCTCCCATTCTTCCGTCACAGGCGCCCCACGCGTAGGAAATCCAACATCCAGCAGTCTGGATGTGAAGGGTCCACCGAGTCGCCTAAGGTTCGGCGGAGTGAGGTGCAGGTGTCCAAGAAGGGTGGGTCCGTGAGGATCCAAGAGAGGTCAAGTGACCAAAAAGACCTGGAGTCGACGGAACTCGTACCTCGGAAAATGGGTAGAAGTATATGCCTAGTTATTTTTTTTTAAATGGGGGTCATGTCACCCATTTTCATCATTTTCTAGGGTACTTTGGAGGGTCCAGGTAGGTGCAAAAAGGACCCGGAACAACCTGGGGGACCCATAGGATAGCCGAACTGTCGGGTTCTGAAAAACCTCTGTTGGATGGTGAGGAAGGGATCCGTGACTGGGTCCGTTTTGGAGGGGTGTTGGTGGTTTTGTCCGTTTGAGGCCGTTTAAAATCACCTTCTTGGCCACCCTAAAACACCAGCAGGCTGAGGGATTTTACATCCCTTTCAGGAGAATGGGTTCCTCATGTTCTTCAGCCCTAAGACCTAAGAATCCGGGCCTTCAAATTAGAAGGGCTTGGTTCGGGTCCGGACGTGCCAAGAGGTCACGATTGCGTTCTTTTCCTCACCTCAGGAGCTGTCCAAGGAGCGTCCGTCCAGTTCACACAAAGTGGTCTTGAAAGGTTGGATGTGGTTCTGCCGTCGGCGCCGCAGTTGGCCAAGACCACCGGCGTCCCCGCGGGAGCTCGCGAATACGGTCAAGTGACGGTAGCTGTCAACCACCTCAGTATCATTCAAACGGCGAACACCATGCGAACACCAACTGTGCAGCTGGAGTGCGTGACTCATCGGCATAGCCATCCACATGCACATGCGTGACTCATCACCCAACAAGAGTCACATGCACTTGGTTCGCTCACGAGAGCCGGATCGGGGCAAAAGAGGACATGCGCAAACTACAGCCACTGGGCGGTGAGTTTTAAGCACCAGCTGCATTCCAGCTGCACGCCATCGCCCACTGGCAAGTCTTCGGATACAAATGGAGCATCCAAATAGTTTGAACATGTTTGAACTACGTCTGGGGCCAACAACCTGAGCAATTCCGCCGAAAGCTGGTCTTCACTCTAGCTCCCGCGGTCGCCGTCACAAGCCTAGGAACCGCTTCATCGGTGGCTGGCAAGCCCAAGAGTGCCAGTTCATGCCTGGCCGGCAGCCCTCGACTTCGACGCCCAGTTTTCAGCCCCCGCCCCTCTGAGAGTCGAATTCCGAATCGAACAGTCCTCAACACCATAGTCCGTACTCACACCCAGGGCATCCAAACCACGATCTCGCTGGGAGTCCCAGTGGTTCCAAAGACTCCAGAGACCTAGAATCCCTGTTTCCTTATGTGGTAACTGGGATGCACTGGGACAAGGTATAAAGCTTCCAAGTCTTTGCAGAGGTACTGGTCGGTGGAGACATTTGAAATCGCCGTTGGGTTTCTACTCTTCCATCGTCCCACACACCGCCAATCATCGCCAATCAGCAAAAAACATAAGCTATAGATATATTAATGTTACAAAGCCCAATATACTTGATAAATCTTGATGTTGGATATCATGATCATCCTCATGGCCTGAAACCTCAGGAGCCCCAATCATCCGATCCATCACCAAAACGACCCGGTCACTCCGGCGGCCTCCGAGTGTTGAAGGTGGTCTGTTGACCTCAGAAGTGGAGCGAAGAAAAACCCTCCGAGCCGGAAGGAGAAGTGGAAACACGGTAACCCATGGTAACCCTATATACGTATGCCTTCACGATGATGCCACATGCCCTCCTGAAAAAGTGTGCGGATGCGCCACATGATCGAAAACCAAGAAGCAAACCTCTAGAGCTGAGGTGGAACCAAAGAGGTTCCCAGCTGGTTTCAGGACATTCGGTTGCTGGTTGGGATTCGCTCGTGGACGCTTCCTTGCCGGACGCAGCTTTTTGGTTCAGGCTGAGGCTCCCCGCAGCCCATGTTGCAGTCCAAGACCCATCGCACGGTGCTCACATGACCCCGTTCCAAGTGATGCCTCGGTTCTGACAAAAGGCCAAGGTGCGCCTTGCGCCATGCCACGAGAATAAGGATTTCACATTACAAAACCACGGTGTTGTTCATCAATCAAGGCCTCTCACTGTTCTCGTGATTGCAAGCCATACATGCAAGCAAGCCCACCTATTCCAAAGGGTAAACTCAAAGAAAGGCAAAGAAAACCAACTAAACTGGCTTTCTTTCAGTGCACATCTATCAGGTCCTGCCGACTCTGATGTCCCACACAACTCCTTCCTTGGCACCTCGATCCACGTTTCACGGCGACCCGCTTCCTTCGCTTTCACTCCCTCCGACCCGCGGCTCGCCCCGAATCGGTGTTCCGGTACTAGCCGTCTCCGCGGCGGAGACCCGGGAGATGCCTGGGCACCGAGGCACATCTGCAAATAGGTCTCATAATCGGGAGATGGCTTGGGATCCGGAATCCAATAGGCCTCGGCGTAGCTGCGGTCGTTTTTGGCTGCTCCGCTGAGCATCGTAATTCGTTGGTTTCGGTGTGTTTCGAGCTGCGCAACAGCGCCGGTGAGGACTCGTGGTTCGTCGTTAGTAGGTGGTGAGGAGAGGTGAAATGGACGGTCGACCAAAGGTTCGGAAGGAAGAGGGAGGCTGAACCAGAAAATGGTTCAGCTGACAGCTTGGCTATGCTTGGCTGACTGGTGCTTCATGGGATATGGAATATTGGAATGAGCTCCCAATACCAGCATCCTCCAACAGGTCTGCTTTAGAGGGTTCTTGGGCCCCAACAAAGATGAATGAGCTCCCAATAGAGATTCCGTTGAATTCATTCCATGAAAAGAATTCTTCCGCCTATCCACATCACATCCACGACTCGGGGATGGGGCCAAGGGGACTCAACACCACCACTTCCAACTTTTGGAGCTGACAGCCTTCCAACGGAGCTTGGGAGAGCGTCCAAGTGTGCTAGGACGCCCAGGGGCAACGAAGACGCAGCGATCCCGCATGGCAT